TTCCTAAACAGGCCTAAACCAGGGTCAAACAGATGAACACTTTTTAAAATCATCCTACGTTATTCAGAGCAACAAGGATGAGAATGGAATGCAAAGGACTTTATGAGACTGAGAAAACAAGTCACCACCCAGCATATTAAAGTCAAATAAAAAGCAGATGCACATGGGCAGAAGCCCTGAGCTCAGGTGTGCTGTCCTGGGACCTGTGTCCAACAGAGTCACTCAGGAATAAAACCTGGCACCTGAAACAGTCTCACAAATGCCAACCCAGAACTTGAGAGAAAGGGGGAAAAGGAAAAACAATTCTTAGGAACAAGTGAAAACAATGTGAGTACAAGGACAAATACATCCCCCTCTAAGTCCTGAACCTTAAAAGCACTTGAACTAAGCACTACACACAGCTCATGTCCCATTCCTGCCCCTGGCTCCAGATCTGAATGACAGCTGAACTCAGCTTTGCCACCAAGAGAAAAATGAAAGGCACACCAAGTCACCAAACTGGTCTCTCTAATGGAATTAATTCCAGTTTTACAGCACAAAGGAAACTCCTGCCTGACCAGTCACCTCACACAGATCCCTGTGCTCACTTTGCCTTCTCAGGTCACTTGAGCACTTTAATGTTAATCTTCCCAACATGAGTCAAAGTAACTCTGTCACTATTGTTATCAGACTATTACTCATGGGATTCCAGTAAAAAGTCACAAGATTTTGAAAAAAATAAAAAGCTGAAGATGTGTCAGCAGCAGGTAGAACACCTGGTGACACAGAGTTCCTGGTGGAAGTCTGTTCTGGTCACTTCATGCATTTATTTCCCCTTGACAGTGTCAGAGACACTGGGACGTGGACAGTTCTGCTGCTCCCCAGGCCTGTATGATCTCAAATAACACCAAAAATAGTAATTGCCAACTGACACTCACATTGCTGCTGCAAGGGGAGAAACAAATCCATGGGGAAAAGAACAAAACACAAACATGTCCAGGCTGGGGCCTCCGTGCAGAAAAGCAACAGGGGAAAGATGAAATTCAGAGCTCCAAGAACCCCTGAGAGGTTCTTGCAAAGTTCCCACGAGTGACAGTGTGATACTGCCCTGCTCAGACTCAGGGGGGATCTGTCCCAGCCTGGACAATCCTTGTGGACAAGCAGAGGAAGCAAAGCAGCCAGGCTGAGCTGTGCAGACACCTGAGCCGTGTCACTGACTGCTGTGACAGCTCCTGGGGCAGGGATGAGGTCACAGCCAAGCCACCAGGGCAGCTCCTCCCTGAGCAGGGCTGTGCTCAGCACCCCAGCCCCAGGAGCTCAGCTCAGCCACCCCAAGGAACCCTCAGACCCACAAAACCTGTGGGACTGAACACAGAGCAGTCACCTGCCCAGGGGATGGACGGGCACAAAGAGCATTTCTCTGCTTCCCAATGTCCAAGTTTCCTTCAGAACTCGAGGCTGAGCAGCCACCAGCACAAACATGCAGCCTCACAAGAGCAGCTCACACCCATCCAGGGTCCAGGCACCCAGCACTGCTGAGTCCAACCACTCCTCACTGCAGTCCAAACGCTGACACATTCCCCGGCCAGGCAGGGGTGGGAGAGGCTCAACAGCCCTGAAAACATGGACTTAAAATTGGGATTAGCCTAAACACAAGGCTTCCTCACAGCTCACAGGCACCCCTGCCTTGTTTTGACTACAGATCCTGGATTTTCACAAAACATTGTTAGCTGTGTACAAGTACATTGTGTGTGTTTTTTAGTTTGAGAACTATTTCCTCTCATGGGGTTTGTTTTTCACGACTAGGGAAAGCATCATGTGCCTTTTTGGTCTGTGAGTTTCACATCTGTGATTAAACACAAAGGCAAGAAGTGCAGTCTGCCAGAATTCTGCAACTCCTCCTTCTTCGGGATAAAAATGAAAGTACTTAAATCATACCATTATTAAAACAGTTTAGAATATGAAGCAGAGCGTGAATGGTTTGCAAGAAATAAAACACACACACACAATAAAATGGGACCAATCCTCAAAAGTTTGAAAGTATAAAACACCCAGAAGGAAAGGCTCTTTCAAAGTAAAGGCATCTGAAGGCATTGTCCCAGTGCTATCAAATTAGGCACAGCTGCTTTCACCTTCTGGAAACACTCACACGGAAATAAATGAGTGCAAAAATAAGAGCAAAACACATTGTACCTCAAGGCTGGTGCTGTTGTCCCCTTCATCCATGTCTGCAGGAGCAAAGACAAAAGCAAAGACAAGTCTGAGTTAAGAGATGACCGCAGCTTCCGACGCAAACTCTTGATCAACACAAGGGGAACAACAATTGCTTAACAACAAAGCCCAGCAGCGAAGTGCCGGGGGACGGGACCTCTCCCGGAGAACCTCCTGCACGGCCACGGGAGTTCAGAGAGAAGCTCCCGGGAGCTTTTCCACACGGAGAGAGAGCGGCTGTGGGAGAGCCGAGCCCGGCGGCACGGCCGGACCCGGGTCACTGTCCCGGCCGGACCCGGGTCACCCTCAGGGCCGGACCGGGTCACCCTCGGGCCGGACCCGGGTCACCCTCAGGGCCGGACCCGGGTCATCCTCAGGGCCGGACCCGGGACACCCTCAGGGCTGGACCGGGTCACCCTCAGGGCCGGACCCGGGTCACCCTCAGGGCCAGACCCGGGTCATCCTCAGGGCCGGACCCGGGTCACCCTCAGGGCCGGACCCGGGTCACCCTCAGGGCCGGACCGGGGTCTCTGTCCCGGCCGGACCCGGGTCACTCTCCCGGCCCCGTTTCGCCAGGCTGCTCAGGGCCGGACCCGGGTCACCCTCAGGGCCAGACCCGGGTCATCCTCAGGGCCGGACCCGGGTCACCCTCAGGGCCAGACCCGGGTCACTCTCCCGGCCGGACCCAGGGGCTCTCCCGGCCCCGTTTCGCCAGGCTAGCGCTCGGGACTCGGGCTGCAAACAGGACAGCACCTCCTCCTCCCGCGGGGCCTGGGGCACCCGCACCGGCCGGGGGCTACACCAGCCCGCCAGGCCCGCGTCCCGCCGCCGCGCCCCAGCGATCCCCGGCGGCGTCTCACCTGCTCCTTCCCCCGCCATCGCCCCGGTGCCGGTGCCAGCCCGGGTCCCTGTCCCGGTCCCTGTCCCGGTCCCGGTCTCTGTCCCGGCTCTCGCGCTCCCGGGCCGGGCGAAGGGCGCCGAGCGCACACCCCGCCCGCCGCCGCCAGGGGGCGCGGCCGCGCCAGGCCCCGCCCACGCCGCGGGCCGCTCGCTGCTGATTGGCGGGAAAAGCCCCCCGGGAGCCGTTCGGCGCGGGGGCAGCATCGGCGCTGCGGATTGGCTGTCGCGGCCCGGCCAATGGGAGCGGGCGGTGTTGGGGTGTGCCGAGGCGGGAGCGGGCCGTGAGGGGGAACCGGCCCCGGCGCCGATCGGGGAGGTCCCGGTGACCGCAGGGCTCGGCTCCGCCTCCGCTGGGCCCTCCGGTGCTCTCCGGAACTCGCTCCGGCGTCGCTAGTTCCGCGGGGACCGGCCCGGCTCGCTGAGCTCCCGGTTCCCGCAGGGCCCGGCTCCGGCCCCGCTGAGCCCTCGGTGCCCGGCATGGGGCTGCTGACCCAGCTAGTCCGCGGGCTGGTGCGCGGTGCCGACCGCCTGTCGCCGTTCACCAGCAAGCGCGGCCCGCGGAGCCACAACAAGGGCCGCGGCGCCAAGAAGGTGGGCGTGCTCACCCGCAACAAGAAGTTCCTCCTGGTCAGGGAGATGGTGCCCGAGTTCGTCGTGCCCGACCTGACGGGCTTCAAGCTGCGGCCCTACGTGTCGTACCGCGCCGCCGAGGGCTCCGAGCCGCCCCTGACGGCCAAGCAGCTCTTCGACCAGGTGGTGGCTCCGCGCATCCAGAAGGACGTGAAGGACGGCACCTTCGACCCCAACAACCTGGAGAAGTACGGCTTCGAGCCCACGCAGGAGGGCAAGCTCTTCCAGCTCTTCCCCAAGAACTACGTGCGGTAGGGAGCGGGAGAGCACGGGACAGGCTCCCTCACTGAACTTCAGAGCAAATCCTTCTGCCTTGTTCTTCTGTAATACCTGATTTAAATCCTGGTGAAATCTGATGGGTTTGATTTCCCACCCATGACTGGTGATCCCTCTGGGAGACAGCTGTGCCTGGTGAGCAGAGCCCTCTCGGGGGTTCCGAGGATGAGGATGACATTTCTAAATAAAAAGTGCTGCAAAGTTTAAGAATTAAACTTTAAAAATTAAATTAAGACTGAAAGTGTTCCCTTTGGCAGAAAGGAAGCAAGATCAGTGGATGGTGTGTGAGCACTTAGTCTGCAGTGAGGGCTGCCAGATGAGCCGTTACAGTGCTGTGGGGGGTTCAAACCCCCACATTTTCGGGGCTGGGCAGGGCTGCAGCCCCAATCTCAGCAGGATGAGCTGTGCCCAGGATCAGCCACAGTGGGGATGGGGAAGGCACAGCTTTTCTGACTGCACTCTGCGTTTTTCCCCTCCTGTGGGGCTGATCAGAACAAGTCACACACACGGGGCTCTTTCCTGCCCTCTCTGCTGCTGCTGGCAGAGGTGCCCCTTCAGCCCTTCCCTGTGCTGCCAGCCAGGGCAGGAGGGGCACGCAGGGCTGGACAGCAGGAGGTCCTGTGCCCTTTGATGCCCATTCCAGCTTGCTCTTGACCACATCCTTTGCCTCACAGCCCACGGGAAGGCAGACAGTGGGTGGCTCCCTCCTTTCTGTGAGCAGAGCAAGGCCTGGCCCAGAGCCTAAAGCAGGCTGGTCCCAGTCTGTCACCGCTGCAGCTCGCTGCCCTCGGGCTGTCCCTCTGCTCTCACAGGGCAATAAAAGGCATTACAACCTTTCCAACAGATCCAGGGACACACCCTCGCTATTCCCGGGAACTGGCTTGTCCACTCCCAATGAATATTCACCCCTTGGAGCCCGAGCCATCCCAGGGCAGGGCAGGACTCCCTCATAAGGACTGTCAACTGATTTGATTTTTAAAACAAAACAACCAAAAAATGATAAATCACTTACATTTGTTTTATTTTAGAAACATCCAAAAATAGCATGTTTTTTTCTTTAGCAAAAGCTCTTGTTTTCGTTATTAATATGAATCTTCATGTAACAGTGCTCCAGAATGTTTGCTAAAATGCACATTCACCCTTGAGAAGGGGGTTTCAAAGCAGCAAAGTTCTCATCTGCTGCACCTCATTTAGTTGCAGCACTGTTACACAGACCTGTTGCTGGTGTTTCTTTCCCTCCAGACAACTCATTCTTTAGGACCCTCAAAGAAAACCATGCAAGCTAAAAGTTACTGATCTAGTTTAAGCTGGTTTTGTGTTTCTAGGAATAGAGAAAATGTTCCAGAAAGGGTGTTTTGCTGATATTTCACAGTGAAAAAAAGAGAGCTAATGGAGCAACCATGAGAAATCCTGCAGCCATTCCTGGAGGTAGTTAGGGCAATGCTGTTAAGATTTTGGTTTCTGTACTTATTTTAAATTTAAAAAGATGTCAAGAAACACCGCTTATACGTTTTGGAGGTTTTGATCTTAAAGCTGTTCACCTTTTAAAAACTGAGCTTGACTTTGGACCTAAAGGTGGCTCTGTGGAGAGCAGAAAGAATGAGCTGAATACTGAGAGGCCATGGGGGTGGTGCAGTGGCACTAAAACATGGTGGGGTCACTACAGGATTTACTGAACCAGGGTGTGCTCGGCTGGGAGCGATGAAGGAGTCTGCAGTCAGGTGAGGAGTGATGGAAAATGATGGAAAAGCACAAGGAGCCTCACAAGGAGGATCCCACAGCACTTCCCTTCACACAGACAGTCTGCACTTCCTTCTGAACCAGAACTTCTCTCTGTTTAACATCACTGTGAGCACACTGCACTGCCTCTGGCCTGTCTGAGCCCTTCTCCCATCACACAGCCAAGCCTCTGCTCAGGGGCCTTTGAGACATTCAGGAAACCTTCTGGTCACTTACTGGGTGTGCACAGCAGCACAGTCAAGTCTGGTTTGTAAGGGAAGGAGAAGGCTTAACACATCCATTGTGAAATGCAAACCAGCCTTGAAAGGATTCAGATCTGAGGTACAAAGCAGCAGCCTGTGAGAGGAGGGCTGTTCCACTTGGAACTGGGACATAAGGGAAAAACTAAATAAACCAGTCTGGCCATGACCACAGGCCTCTAAGCAAAGGCTTCCCTCTGTGCTGAAAAGAAAACATCAGGAATCCCATCAGTGTTTGCCTCGAAGGACTCCCAAGCTCAGCAGTAAGATGGGAAAGCCCAGCAGAAATCAGGGCATTAAGTTCAGCTGTCACTCTCAGTTCAGGAGTTTTCCTCCCTCTTCCATTGGGACTGGTCAATGCAAACTTTCACCTGTTCTTTTGGATGGAGATCCAGGACTTGGCACATCTGGAGGGGTCACCAGGCTCATCTCCCACTTCCAGACATGGAGGATGTTGTCATAGAAAGAACAAGTGGCCACAATGCTCATTTCTTTGGGGCTGTCTGGAGACCTGGCTGAGTCACTGCCTCTGTCCAGCCCCATTCCATTGGGTCTCTTGGCTCCTGAGTCAGAGCCGCTGGCTGACCCCAGATCTGCCCCTTGGGCAGCCAAATCTAAACCTCCCTTTAAACCAGAGCCCCTGACCAGTCCAGGATCCCCAGCCAGCTTTGGCCCTGCCCCTGCTGCGAGTGCCACAGCAGGGCTTTCACTCTCCTCATCCAGGATTACATCAAAAGTAGCTGTAGGAGACTCATAAATTATCTTCAGGTTCTGGACCTGCAAACTCAGCCTCTCCTCTCCTTGCCCTGATGCTCCCACGAGCTCCTCCGAAGGCTGGCACGCAGCAGCAAGGTCCTGGCTTGCAGGCAAGGAATCCCTTGGACACAGCCTTGACCAGTCAGCCCCGTAGGCCAGGGAATTGTGCAGGACATAGGATGACAGGATGATACATTCCTCTGTGTTTTCCGCTTAAAAAAAAAAAGATAAATGAAATTACTTAGAAATCAAGTTGTGGGTTGTGGCAGAGTGCTCAGCAGCCATTCCAGCACTGGCTGTGTCTCATGGGAAGAGTTCTCTGGTTATTCCCTTCTTCACCACTGAGTGAAGCATTCCAGGAGGAATGAGGTACTGACCATTTTTCAGCCACCTCTCAAGGGCCTTGATTCCTCCTGGGTCAGTAGCAGAGGAGAAGAGGGTTTAACATGCATGAGATTAAAGAGCATCATTACGCAAAGTGCCTACAAAGGCTCAAGACAGACAAGACTGATCACACCACAACCTTCACTGAGCCATGAACACACCTGGGGGATTTGCCAGGTCCTGGTTATTAATACACTGCAGATGTTCTTCCTGTCAGCTTTCAGCAATTCACTCTCACAGCGAGTTCCTTCCTTCCCCACACAGGAGAAATGCCATCCTCATTTCCTAAGCTGTTGATCTGGCCAAGGTCTGAAAAACCCATCCTCTGTCAGACTGCATTTGTAATGTGAATCCAAATGGCTTTTCCACCACGGAAGCACCTCATCATTCACATGAAGAGCTTATTCATGTTATTCTGGATTAACCAGGCTGCAAAGCACTTTCTTCCTGAGGCAATAACTGATTCCCCAGCAGGTCAGTGACTCCAGCTCAGAGGAAAGCACCACCTGACAGACAGAAGCACCTCTCTGAAGCATCACAATGAACACAAACCCAGAATGGTTGTGCCCTCACCAAACACAAAGGCTTTCCTCCCGTGAAAAGAAGTTATGAGAGATTTACACAGATAGTGACAGGGCCTTGGCACAACCAAGCAGGCCAAGAGAGTGCACAGATGTGGGAAAGCTGGAAGTTACCTCAAACTGGAACAGAAGCCTATGGCTTTTAACACCATCTCAATCCTTCCAGCAAGAGCTGGAGCTCCCTGTGAACCCGCAGGCAGCGAAGAGCGCAGCAGAGCAGCCCTGAGCACCTCTGGTCCCTGCACACTCACCCAGGCTCCCGCGGCAGTCGAGGATCTTGAAGCCACTCTGCATGCAGGCTGCCAAGAGCACGAAGTCACACGTGGGGTGCCACTTCAGCCTCCACACCCCACCTTCCACGTGGGTGTCAGCCAGAGGCTGCCTCATGTTCCTGGTGTCCCACAGCAGCACGTGCTCGTCGTAGCTGGGGACACGCCACAAACAGGCAGAACAGCACAGCCAGGTCAGGGCACAGAAGAAAAGTGGGAAAGACCACATACTCTGCACCACTTGGGAATTTCTGCAGAGGCAGCAGCACGTTCAGGTAACAGGGGAGGTTGGGCACACCAGGGAAGAGCAGCTGGAAGGGACTCACCTGCCTGTGGCCAGGAGATTCTCTCGGTGGGGACTGCACTGAATGCTGCACACACCCATGGAATGTCTGCAGAGGGAAGAGACAGCAATTTTAGAAGGGCTTCTTCCTTGAATTTCAAGGATTTTGAGTCCACATTATTTCATCAAGGTGTCTCAGGAGAGGTAAGCTCAGAATTTCAGTCCAGTGACCTACCCAAGCAGAGTTTCATCTACACAGTCCAACAGCCTTCCCAGGGACAAAACTTCTATTCACACCATCTCTGAGCACAAGTATTTTCTAGCAATATTTACCCCATAAACTGCTGCTCAAAGGCCCTAAAAATTCCAGCAGAACAACTCCATTCCCAGGAGCCTTTACTCCCAAAATTAATATTTCCATAGCCATAGTCCCCAGTGTAATTTTAAGTTTACACAGAGAATTCCATTAGAGAGCTGTGTATATTGTTTTAACCATTTCTTAAAGTAAGACAGATCACTTCAAATAACTAAACAGTGGTGAACAAAATATTTTCTAAAAAACATTCATATAATATATCCAAATTTAACACACACAAAAATTGCCAAAATAAAAGTGTAAATCACGATTCCTTTTTAGAAAGAAACTACCACCTTCTTCACATGTGGAAGTCAGCACTTGCTTTATTATGTTAAAGGATATAAAGAAGAAAGTTTCAACCTGAAGTTGTTCTGATGAACAAGAAACTACCACCTTCTTCACATGTGGAAGTCAGCACTTGCTTTATTGTGTTAAAGGAAATAAAGAAAGTTTCAACGTGAAGTTGTTCTGATGAAAAAAACTAATAGATGCCTCCATTTCCCATGGAAGGCAGAAGCAGGACCCACTGTCACTGCACATCTCATAATTCAGTGGCTTGGGCAGGGGCAGGGCAGCAGCAGCTGTTCCCACCCCACTGCTGGAGGGCTGGGCGTGGACAGGTCTCACTCACCTCCTGCTGGTGAAGATTGGAGCCTCCGGACTGCACCTGGTGTCCCAGCCCTTGAGCAGGCTGTCATCCCCTCCTGCCCGGGGACAAAACACTGTGACCCTCAGCACCAGCCCTGAGCATGGGGCAAAGCAGTGCCAGAGCCTGCAGCTCCTCCCGAGGGGCAGCTCCCATCTCTGCTCTGGGACGGGGACAGGAGCCAGGGCACGGCTGGGGCTGGGCCAGGGCAGCTCAGGCTGGAGCTCAGGGCAAGGCTCTTCCCCCAGAGGTGCTGGCACTGCCCAGGCTCCCCAGGGAATGGGCACGGCCCCGAGGCTGCCAGAGCTCCAGGAGCCTTTGGCCAGCGCTGCCAGGGATGCCCAGGGTGGGGTTGTTGGGGGGTCTGGGCAGGGCAGGGGTTGGGCTGATGATCCTGGTGGTCCTTCCTGCTCAGGGCAGTCTGTGACACAGAGCTGATGCTTTCCTGCCCTGGGATCCCACAGAATTTAACAGACACACAAAAAAATCACATCAGGCTCCCAACACTCATCACCACAGAAAACACAAGTGGTATCAATATACTGATGCCCTCCTCTTTAGTAAGAAAAAGAGTTAGAAGTCATAAAGACTGGACTCAAACAGCTCTCTGGCTCTTAGCATACTGCAGGAGAATATCATCTTTTTTGCCAATAGCCATCCAAATACAGTTTTCATGGTACAGATTCTCCTAATTAACTCCAACCACTTTCCACCATCAAGAAATTAAGCCTTTCACCCCTAATCAGAGGACCCTGCTCTTTCAAGAGTGATGCAAGCAGCTCACCCACCCCTGGAAAGTAAAAACCCAAGTAATACATCCCCAAACAAGGGGCCCCCTCCCCAACAGCACCTAAGGAGATCCCCAGCCCATACAGACCTGAATACACGATATCAATGTCCCAGTAATTAAAAGCAGCAATCCAGGCCTCAAATTTGTGAGCTTCCCACTGGTTCAGGACATGCACAGAAGGAGCAGATTCATCTATGGAGAAAAGATTCAGCTTCCCCTCTGAATCACTGCTGATCACTCTTAAAGGACATCCACTACATCAGGGTACACAAAAAACATTGGGAATTACTGCAGCAATCAAATATTTTCATTCAAATAAACACTGGCAGAAACTGACAGGAATGACACATTCATACAATTCTTTTCAGCTTCATCTTAAAATCACTTGCCCCAGTGACCACCACTCTCTGCTCTCACAGGGAGCAAGCACTCACTCCCAGGTCAGGGAAAGAACCACTACTGGCTCTCATCTTCCTCAGAGATGCAAAACTTGACTTCTTACATGCTTCACATTACATCAGTAAACAAATTCCATGTGAAGAGGGTTCTTTTTTTTTTTTTTTTTACTCCAAGTCAGACTGACAATGCCCTTTCAGAGCCTCTTCCCTCTTCTGGAGTACAAAGAGATGCTTTATTTCCTTGCTATCACTGAAACCCAAAGCACTGGCTGATCCTGACCTTTCCTGCTCTCTTCCTGTGCCACAGTACAGTTACAGTTTCCAGACACAATGACCTTGGAGCACTGGCAAATGTTTTGCAATTCCCAGTGCACAGATTTTTTGGCATTCCCTGACATGAACTAGGTCTCTTCTGTTTGGTTACCTACAACTGCAGGTACTGCTTTGGTGGCCTGGGGCTTCTTTCCAGTTCTGTATCAAATGATTCAACCACCCTGAATCTCCCAAATTCCCACATAAGAGATACAGGGCCACCCCCTTCCTACAGAGATGTGAACAATGTACATTTGGCTTCTAGGAGAAGTTACTGGTCTCTCAAGTGACAATAACAGGTCTAAAGAGGCATTTCATCATGGCATAAATCATTTATCATGAAGGACAGACAAAAAGGAGGAATGTAACAAGGAAGTGTAACTGGCAATTCTACTTACTCATTAATGCATTAGCACACACAGAAACAGCTTTAATTAGCTAATTTGCCCTACAGTATTAAGCAATGACTGGCTGATCCCCCTGCTTTTCCAGCCTCACACCAAAGGCACCACTCTTCATCTGCACCTACAGAACACATTAACACCCCCCTGCCTTCAAGGTACAGCTAATTCAGCTTATTTCACACAGCAATGCCGTTTCTGAAATCTCATGTATGAGCAGTTGAGACAAAGAGGAGCCACTTCCAAACCAATTCTCTCCTGTTTCTCACTAACCCATGATTAAACTTCCTACATGTGCTATTATTAGCAGTTCATAAGGAGAATTTCACACTAAAATTTAATCTGTTCTAAGAGCAGAGTTGAAACCAGCGGCTCCATTTGTATCGCATTCTGGTCTTTCCTTTTAATAAAGGTAGCAGAAGACACATCCCTGGCTCACCTGCTGCCATTCCCCAGAGCACAACCTCCCATTTGTTGTTGGTTTAGTCTCTCTCCTGTTCCAGTGGCCACACTGTTTGGTTTCTGTTACCTTTGCTCTGGAAACAGGTACTTCTAGAGCAGGGCCAGGGAGCCAGCTGGGACCAAGAAAGTCAAAACCACTAAAGACTGCTTGATCCAAGCTTCAGCTTCTGAAGGTTGTCCCACACACCCTGGCCTCCAGCCCAACCTCCATCTCCCATCCTCACCACTGCTCTCGTCCAGTGGACCAGTCCAAGGACAGGGCCAGTCGCTGTGCCCCGAGATCCACCCTGAAGCGTGGCTCCAACATGCAGCTGTTCTTCTACTGGAAACAAAAGGAGTGCATTAAGACTGGGAAGACAGCAGGCACATAATGACAGCTGCACAGCAGGTTTTCCAGAGACTGATGAGCAAATGAGGGTCCCACACTAAAGAAGCAATGAAATGTCCCACAATACTGTACAATCATCAGTGCTGGCTGAGGGGCAAACGTGCACACACAGGATCCCACCCTTCTGCTGTTCACCTCCCACCAAACCTCCCTTAAACTCTGCTGCTTCTCAGGGAGTGGTAAAGTGCAGCAGAAGTGATGACCTGACTGCTGAATTGCCCTACAGACTGGCCTCTGCTTTCTTTGCTCTGTGAGAATGGCTCAGATCACCCTCTTCTCTCACCACCAAAAGAAACCCCACTCCAAAAATCCTCCCTGCTTTTACCAGCTTTGCACTTTCTGATGTTTCCCAGTTAGGCCATACTTGTTTCCAGGGTTTGCTTCTTCCCTCCTCCTGCTTCTCCTCCCTGACTCTGCAGATGGGTAGAGCCCAGCCCAACTCTCTGGCACCATGAAAAGTTCATAGAATTTATGACAAACATTATCAGAAGACAAAAGAAGTGTTTAAAAAGCTAAGCGTGCTGAGGAAGCCATGGAAACCAGCTTTCCTGCAAGCCTATACACACTACTAGGAAATGTAGAGATGTAGCAAGCATGGGTTAAACCAGCTTCAGCAGCAGCAGGCACTGCATCCACCCACCTCACTTCCAGTCAGGTGGCAAAATTCCACAGCACCTGTAGAGTTTGCGATGCCAACCATGGGATGTTCTGCAACAGGAATGTGGCACCTAAAAGATCAAGTTAAACAAGTCTCCAATGTCCATCTTTCTTGAACTTTAGGAAGAGAGCAAAGCCATAACTTTCATTCCAACATGCACAAGGAGAAGGTATGTGATGGAAAAAAGTCTCACATTACAAAAATCTAAGGCTCCTCAAGTTCCCACACACCTGCAAGGAGGGGATTCTCTACCAGGGAGATCTACTATATGCTATTATATAAATAAATGAGGTACAAAGTCATGACCGGTCAAGTGAGCAGAAAGTACAAAAGAGAAACAAGGCAGTCTTTGCTCATTGGAACAAACTGGAAAGTATTTCCCTCCAAGAAGTCAGGAACTGTTCCATTAGTAACGACTGCTGTTGCTGCCATGCCAAAAAAGGATGGCGGGAGGAGCAGAGCGTGCTGCTGTGGCACCGAGCCTGGCCGGGCCGGAGTTACCATTTGATGTCCAGGATGGCGGCCGTGTCGATGCGCTGGATCTCGGTCAGCGGCATGTAGGGCTGCTCCTCGTTGTAGTGGTACAGGTAGAGCCGCCCCGTGCGGTCACAGGCCCCGCTGCTCCCTCGGGAATCGCTCTGTGGCAAGCACGGGAAAGAAAAGGGCAAGCTCAGCCGCGCTTCTGGCCCCGCAGCCGGGATCCTGCCAGGAGCGGGGAGCAGGGCTGAGGCTCGCACTTGTTCAGTCCCAGCCCTGAGGGATGAAAGCCCCCATCGGGGCAGCCGCGCTCATCGGAGGGGCCACTCTGCCCGCCCTGGAGCCGCCCCAGCCGGGACAAGGCGCGGCCCCGCCGCGGGGACCGGCAGGACCGGGCATGGGGACGGGGCTCGTCCCGGAGCGGGGCCAGGCGGGGACGGCGGCTCGCCCCGCTGCGGTGCCGGCCAGGGATGGGGCCGGGGCTCTCCCTGAGCGGTACCGGGCAGAGACGGGGATGGGGACGTGGACTCGCCCCGGAACGCTGCCGGCCGGGCGGGGATGGGACGTGGACTCGCTCGGTAGCGGGACCGGCCGGAGCGGGACCGGGCTCACCTGGTCGGGCGGGCGCAGGTGGTAGGTGCCGCAGGCCAGGATGCTGTGCCAGCCCTCCACCGGGCACCACTCCACCGCGTCCGCGCTGAACTCCGTGTCCACCACCTGCAGCGTGCGCGTCCGGCACGGCGCGGCCATGGCGGGCCGGGCCCTGCTGCGCCGCCGGGCGGCTCCCGGTAGGCTGCGGCGAGGCGGGGCCGCCGCCCGTCTGCTTCCCGGTCAGGGCGGGCCCGGGGCGGAGCTGCCCCGCGGAGCCGCCTCTTCCCACGGGCGGGCCCCTTCTCGCCTGTCCTTGCCGAGGGAAGGGGTTATGGCTTCAGTCCCCCCGATGAGGGACCCCTGCCCTGAGCCCGGCAGCTGCTCACGAGAGAAATCCGGGGTCAGCCTTTCCTCGCCATCCTCCCCGCGCCTCGCTCAGAGCCCTTCCCCGGCCCGGCATTCCCGAGGAGACGCGGGCTGGTGCCGCCGTTCCTGCGCGCTGTTCCGGACCTCGCGGCGCTCCTGGTCGCTGCCCTGAGCCTTCCCCTTCCCCTTCCCCTCAGTCCTTTCCCCGTCGGAGGGCGGGTCCTGCGCCCTCGGGATGCGCCCGCAGCCGTGCCCACGGCGGTGCTGCTCCCTGCGCTGCCGTCCTCTCCCGGAGCCTGCACTGCCGCCCTTCCCTGCCGGGAATCCTGCAGAGCCACGGGTCTCATTGCTGACTGAAATCAGCCAAGGCCGGGCCGTTTGCTGTTTTCCCATCATCAACCCTACATTTATTGACACTGAATTTCATCTCCCACTCTCTAATCCTTCTGCATTTCACTCAGCCTTTATTGTATTATTATTACACTGAATAATATCATCAGTGGATGTTGTCAGTTTCATTATACATTACCTTTTTTCTAATTTTTTTTAAATATATTGGACATCCAGCTGTTTACTTCCCACCATAAAAATCGTCCCTTCTCTTCCTTTCCTGTCTTCTAAACAGTTGTTTGTCTATATGACATTTCTCTTTTTGACCAGCAGCTTTTCTTCCTTAAGTGCCTTGAGCAAAATCATCATTAAATGCAGTTCAGACTGTCCCAACCAAATCCCCTTTACCCTACTGATGATGCCTGGAATTGAAGCAATTCCACTAAAGTTTTGAAGCATGATTTCCCTGTACAGAGCCCACACTGACTCCTCCTCGGTATTCAGCCATTGGTGTTGCATCACAGCATCCATGAATTCACAAAGTGCAAGTGGCTGTAGTTTGAAATTCCTTCCAGAAGCTGCTGTGACATTTGCTGTGACATTGTACCAAGGGAGAGGTCGCCATCCCAGCTGGGAGCTCAGCTTGTTCATCCCTGAGCTCCCTCGGAGCCGTAGGTGGCACCGTCTGCTGCTGGCAACTTGTTGCTGCTCATTTCAGCTGAACTTTAATCTCTCTTGAAAGCACTTCTGTTCTGAGCAGATTCCCTGTGGAGCTCTCCATATGGAAGTATTCCTGTGTGAACTCCACCAGCTCTTTCACACGGAACACATATGCAAACAAGTCACTGGATTTTCTTCTGCTGAGGCTTTCATCTTCAGGTCAGCCCTTCCCTTTGCTGTGCATCAGTCTCTGCTGACACCAGTAGTCCCCCTGCTCCTGATTTTTTCAAAACTACTCATGCAAGTTTTATGACTTGAACATTCCTCATATTCCATTTTTCTTTGCATTATTTGGCTGGGTTGGTTTGTTTGCTTGCTTGTGCTACACTTCACCTGCCAAATGTTATTCTTTCCATCTCTTACATTTGGACAAAGGTTCAATTTATTAAGGATTTCTTCTTACTCTGAGTATCCCACAGGCTCCTGTTTAATCACACCAGCCTCCTGCTCTCTGTGCTGTTTTGCTGGGTGGTGAAGCTTTGTTCTTGGCCCATGTGATGTCTTAAACCATCTCCATGCCTCCCATAAGCATTTCAGTCTTTCAGCTGCTCCTTTTACCATGAGTTTAATTTAAAATTAGGTCACAGAAGAAAACTAAGACTATAACCTGATGGTGTTTTCAAGGTGCAAGTATCAGAACACCAAGCCCTGTAAGCCACTGCATTTCATATTTGGTGTTCCTTAAGCCAGCCAGGATATCCAGTTGTGTTTTCTGCCTGTTGAGATTGGTGATATCACCCTGCTTGGATAGGAAGGAGCACTGGAAGGTACCTGTATCAGCATTTCACAGTGTGTTTACAGGGAGTGTGCAGCCCTCTGTTACAGCCAGCATCAGGAATGCTGCAGCCTCCTGCCCTGAGCTGGATTTACCAGATTTCCCTGCAGAAAACAACTTGGATGAAGAAAATCTCCATCAGGGGAAGCCCCTGGAAAATCAGTTCTTGATCAGAACTGTCCAGGTCTGCTCCCAGATAAATGACTCCAATGCTGGGTCTTTAAGTACTTGTCCATGTAGATAAATCCCTGCCAGCTGGGGTTCTCTGTGGGGAAGGAGGGCCTTTACAAGAGCTCCATCCTCTGGGGTGGCTTGGGGAGCTGCCACCTTCCAGTGCCTTTCTGCCCCTCCTCACTGAGAGGGAAGATGTCTGTACATGCCAAGAGCTGCCAGAATCATTGACCACACAACCTCCCCCACAGCAGGCAGGGATGTGTTTACTGCAGCCCCCAAGACCTTCCCAAGAGTCACAATCCCTGTAGCCACTTTGCTCCTGTGGCACAAGGACAGTCTGGAGTCACACATCACACACACCCAGGTGTTATCCGAGCCTTTGCAGGATGTCTGGGCAGTTTCTTTCCACTTGAGTTGGTCCCACAGCCCTTTAACCCTGTGGGCATCCCCCCTCCTGCTGTAGCCCACCCTCTCACATTTCTTGGGACTGGGATTTCCCCACACCTCCATCCTGGCTTTGTCCCACCCTTCCCTGATTCCCTCAGAGGAATCTCCCCAGTGCCCCACCAGGCCTTGGGCTGCAGCCTGTTCTTGTCCTCACTGCAGCAGCATTAAAACATCTGCACCAACTTTTCCCTGCTTGGTGCTGCTCAAGTGTTTAAGGGCTCTAAGACTGCACTTTGTTTTGATAAACATGATTCCTGGTAATAAAATGGAAAAGTGGCAGGACAAATAGTAGCCTTTTAAACAGGCAAGGGAAAAAAGTCAATACTTCTGCCCTATTCAATGGATGACCTCAATAAACAAAATATTCCTTATGTCCCATTTTATATTAATCAAAAACTGCATTTCACTTCAAGGAAAGAATTATTGTTTCCTTTAAAAAAAAGATTACCCATTACAGGAAAATTTGATTGGGTCCTGCTTGGTTTTGTCACACTGAAGGGCATTTTGGGCTGCCTGAACAGAAAAGTTACAGTACAACTGTGCTTTAAGAGTGGCAACTCGACCAAGTGCCTTCAAGTGAACTTCCAGCAGGAAGCTTCAAAAGTTTTTTGCTATTTCCCAAGATGCTTAAAGTCAAAGGATGAAAACCCACCCAAATATTAATAATTCAGAACTTCCTGTGCAGATATTAGAAACAGAATATAATATTGGAAGTCCACAGCAGATCAATTTTCTAACAAATTGAATACAAGCAAGACCAACATTGCAACATGAAGTGGCAAAGTGAATCCTGATTGAAAAAATCAAAATTCTAAACAGCTTTTACAAAAAAATTTTCACTAAGCACTCCAAGAAAGGCTCTGCATTAAGCACTCAGCAGCTCACATTCTTCTACTGTGAAGCAAGACTAACACCTGGCACTAAATTATCCATTTAGCTCTTCAGGAAACTCAACTGATGTTCCTTACACTTCTAAGGCAAAAATGGAATAGAAAATGGTTGTTCATTAAAAGAAAAATAGGCATGTGCTCTGCAAGGGAAATCCTCCTCCCATACTACTTTTATGTATTACTACATTAAAAAAATCAAAAAGTGATTCTTGGATTGATGACAACTCTCAAAAAAGTGAATAAATAATTCAAATTACCCAATACTAGATATTTAAACATCTCTGCACATGACTGGAGTGTTTCCTATGCTACAGGGAAGCCACAAGGGCAACCACATCCACACCCAGCTGCTACCTGAGCTCCCCTACCACTGCCTTCTGTGCAAGGGCTTTGGGACAGAAAGCTGATGCTGCTCCCTGGAAATCCTGGCTGCTCCAAGGCCATCTCCAGCAGCCCCTGGGAGGCAGCCCTGGCTGCAGAGCCTGGACACAGATCCCAGAGGGTCCTTGTGCCCCACGCCAGCTCCTGGGCACTGCTCCTGCTGCAGGGACTGCCAGCAGCCAGGGTGACTGAGCTCTGAAGGCAGCTGGAAGGGAAGGGGAAAAAGCCAGAGAGCAGACATGGATTCATTCCAACCTTTACTTTGTTTGCTCTTTTTTTGTTTGTATTTTTTTTCAATAGAGCTTCCATGCAGAGTTCTCCAGAGTAAGTGCTGATGCCAGAGCCTGCCCCGCCGGCCTTGGCACTGCCACAGACACTTCTGCCACATGGGAGGAAAAGCTTTTGCTACATGACTTTTTTTCTTTTTCTTTTTTTTTTTAACTTTTAGGCCAACAACATGTTCTCATCTGAACATTACAGTTAATGAGTGCTATCAAGAATTCCTAACAAAAAACTGTACATGAGTTTACAAACGTATTAACATATAAATAATGAGAAGCTTCCTGCCTGGAGCTCCACAGTAGTCTTTTTGCTTGAGAATATAATACTGGAAGGGCAGACCCGATCCCTTTCCACAGCACCAGTCAGAGCTGGCTTAGTCCAGTCAGCCATTCTGCTCAAGCATCACAGGGTTTTTCTTCAGTGCCTCTGGCTTTGATAAGCAGTCTGTCATACTGTGCAAAAGCAAGAGTCCAATGCCTTTGGGAAGGAATCCTGCTGCTGAGAGGCCTCTGCCACCCGCTCGGTCACCGCTCTGGGCCGAGCTCCTGCTGGAAGGTTCTCTTCTTCTCCCGACAGTGCTTCTTGTGGGCAGGCCAGTCCTTCTGCTGGCACTGCGAGCCGCAGTACCGCGCCACCTGGCAGCGCCCACAGATGTTGAACTCGCGTAACTGGGAACAAAAGGTGGTGTTAGAGGGGCTGCTCAGTGCCAGGAGAACCTCAGCAGGCTCCCAGGGACACCCCGAGAGGACCCAACAGCATTCCCAAGCAGCTTCACGATCAGGCCTTCCATGCCTGACACAACCAGGCGACAGGACAAGGCTGAACAGCCCGACGCTGCAGGAGGGCAGGGTGAGAGGGGTCCTGGGAAGAAATCCTTCCTGGGAGGCCCTGGCACAGGGTGCCCAGAGAAGCTGTGGCTGTCCCTGGATCCCTGCAAGTGTCCAAGGCCAGGCTGGAGGGGGCTTGGAGCAACCTGGGATAAGGGAAGGTGTCCCTGCCCATGGAATGAGATGAATTGTGAAGTCCCAACCCAAACCAGTCTGGGATTCTATGAAACATGAACACCCCACCATGAGTTTCAGAGAACCAGAAGGGTTTGAAGCAATTTCTGTAGCTGTACATTTGCTCTTGTAAAATGGGCTTATTAGACAAAATATTGGAGCATTATACATTTGCTGTCACAATGCTGCTTTGTTAACTTAAGTTCTGTTTTCAACTACAAACACCTGAAATTCAGAAATTATCAGGAGGGCTGCATAAGCTCAGCCATTGTCAAAGTTAGTTATCCAAGAAGCTTTTGGGCACAGACCCAAATAAAAGGCAGAGCTGCCTCTGTTTCAAACACAGGGAATTTAAGATCATTTTTGCAAATGTTCCTTCCCCAAAGCAGAAAGTGGAACACAATGGGTTTAGCCTACTCAGCATCTGCTATCTCAAGAAAAGCCCTTGTTTATAGATAAGGCATCTGTGTGACAGGGGCACAGCCCTTGCACAGCTCATTCTCTCACTCCTGATGTTGCTTTATCTTCCTCCAGCAGAACTTTTCCTCCCAACTCTCCCCTGAATGAAGGCCACTGCAATTCACCTTCACCTCAGGAAATGGTAACCAGGTTATTTTTTGATTCCATGACCATCCAAACCCTCCTACAATGCTTCCTGCTGCCTCACACAGCTGCTCACTCATCCCAGCTCTGCTCCCTGCAGGAAAGCTCCCACCTGGCTTTTTGTGCACTCTGCAGAAATCACCCTCCTCCCAGCAGCCCTGTAACATCCACTGCTCCAACTCAAGCCCACACTCCCTCCAACTGAAAACTGTAACAGGGTTTGGAGGTTCAGGCCAAACAAAACCTGAGTGGAAATCATTGCTTTTAGCCACTGAATGGCTCACATAGAGCTCTACATTTTAAACAACAAATAAATCCCTAGACCACTAGCCCAAGGCATTCCATGCTCACTCCCAGCTCTATGAACCCACCTGTTTTTCAATCATTGTGCAGGGAGGGTAGTGACATTCATAGTAAGTGCAGGAGTTCTCCTCCTCCTCCACAACATCCCCATTAGCATTGTAATATCTGGTTACATTCAGGACAGGAAACTGCTCTTCTATGGGGTCTGTAGGAAGTTGTTGGATTGCCAGCCAGTACAGACTTTGTTCCCTGGAAAAAAAGCAAGTACAAGTTTGGTATATCAACTCATAATAATCATACAGAGACACTGATTCCAAATTTATTAATAAATAAGGTTAACATTGTATTTAGCCTCAGACTGCACATACCAATCATATATTGGGTATTTTTAAGGTTATTTTAGCCTAAGTGCAAACCCCAAAAGTTTAAAGGTATCGGTCAAGAAACATTTACATCAAGCAAAGTTAATTCCGTGTAAAATTACTCACACCAAGTCAAAATTTATTTCTGACATGAAGTCTGTTTCTTGTTCTTGAACCCCCAAAATCATGTAGAGCATTTGTAATCCACTAAAACTTCTCAGAATCAATTTAATCAGCTCTAAACACCCCAATCTTAAAGCTGCTGCTGCAAGTGTTTCAGGAGAGGTGTGATGTGAAGTCTGTGGGTCTCTCACACTGAGTCTGGATATTCCCTGATTATCCAGATCCATCCTGGCACAAAGAGTGTCATGTGCTGAGTGGCACCACTGAACCCCAGCCTGTGGGAAGCTCCCCCAAACTGGT